TCAAACATTTTTACTGCATCTATTGAGACAATCATGTGATTTTTATCCTTTAGTCTGTCAGTGTTGTTTTCATATGTTGAACCATCCTTGCATCTCAGGTATAAATCTTGCTTGGCCATTGTGGATGATGATAGTTTTAATGTGCTATTGGATTCACTCTGCTAGTAGTTTTATTTGAGGATTTTTGCATGTATATTCATCAGGGATATTGGTCTGTAGTTTTTGTTCCTTGTGGTGTGTTTGTTTGGCTTTGGTATCAGGGTAATGCTGGCCTTACAAAATCAGTTTGGAAGTATTCCCCGCTCTTCAATTTTTTGGAAGAGTTTGAGAAGGATTGGTATTAATTCTTCTTTATATGTTAGGTAGATTTCTCCTGTGAAGCCATCTGGTTCTGGTATTTTCTTTGGAGGTCATAGAAACAGCTGTTTCAAAATGTCACTTTTTTTCAGAGGATGTTTCGCACGTACTTAACTTATTAATCAAGGTTAACATAGAGTATGAACAAGTACAACTTTATTTCTGACTCTTACCTTCTCTTTAAACTTCTTTGTTGTAAGTTATCTTTCCCAGCTCTTAAATAAAAACTCCGCCAGAGCTTTGAGCACTTAACCTCACAAACATAGCCTTTACTCATTGATTAGAATGTCTAGTCCATGATAACCAAGACTGCAAACCTAATTTAATGTCACATCTCCGCTTCTCCATCTGGAAGTCAGAAATGGGTGAGAAGGTGTGATCCTACCTCTATGTGCTTTTCACACTGATGTCTTCTCTGCTTCTAGGTAACGCTAATTAGGCAGAACCCAAGACAACTCCACAAAGGCTCACGTTATCATGTAGCCACAGCAGTGCAATGGGAAACACCCCAGCCCTTCTTACTTTGACAAACATTTCCAAGCAGCAGCTTTCTCCTGGTTCTGCCACAAAAGGAGGCTGTCAGCCATTCACTTGCCCTCATTGTGTCCCATCCCTGATCCCTAAACCACTTTAGCTTTCCCAGGTATAAGTCAGGCATCAGTCTTCTATTATCTCCCAAATGAAGGAAAGATATTTCAAAGCTTTCAGTTAGGTCCCTTCATTAGCCCTGAGGTCAGAAACTAGTACCGCCACATAGACTCTTCCAAAGCAGGGAGGGAGGACTCAGACAAAACTGCTATTTCCACAAAGGTCTATTCAGCAGTGTCTCCTCCCAAATGATCTACTTGCCAACAACCTCTAATATCCTTGATCTTTCAAAGGAGCCCCCAAATCATGTAATCTGTACATGCTTTGTAAATGTTGCACATGGTGAGGTCATCTCAAAACTCACCTTGTTATCATATTATGCCATTCAAACTAATGGAGCAAACTCCCCATTCTAACATCTTTTGCAGATATATTCATAGTATACAAAAAATATGATATTTTATTATTCTACTTCACATTTTCCATAAAAATGTCCTTTGTTATAGTTATTGTTATCATCTTAAAAAATACATAATATTATCCCTCTTTATTTCCCATATTCATATATTTGTGCCCAGTTTTGGGCTTTTGGACTGTAAAACTTGAATTTTCATCTCTTTATGCATCCACCAAAAAGAAATAATTAACAATGTAAAACCTATTAAAGGATCTACTTTCTCAAAGAATTGTCTTTTCCTAATTTTTTTTAAATAATCTGGAAGCAGAGCAAATAGTAAGAATATTAGATATAATTAAATGTTATTAGTTTCCATGTTTTAGTATTTTTAAAAATAATGACAACCTCCTGATTTTCTATGTTAATAACAAATACACATGACTTGAATTAACAAAACTAGGAAAACCCAAAAATCAATGATTTTTGTTGGTGCTTTAAAGTTATGGTTGACTAACTCCAAGGAAGAAAATAATTAAATTCCAATTTCTGTACAATATAAAATAGGATTAGACAATGATTTGACGATGAATTTGATACATTCTGATTGGCTCTATAATTATGCAAAGGGAGATATTAATTCATCTGTAAATATTGCCCAAGGAATAGTATCCAGACAATTTAGAAATATATTTTTCTTTCACATTCAAGAGATTTAGAAGAAATCAGCCCAAAGCTTATATAGCATATCTTGGGACCCAGAGATCTACATGCCTAGCTTAAAAAAAAAAAGACAGAAAATTTATTTCTGATGAAGAAGGAAAGAATAGATTTTAAAGGACAACTACCAATCCTGTCTCAGGAGGACAAAGTGATTTATTTACTCCTATAACCTGTAACAAATACAGAGTTCTCAACCAAGTGGGAAGAAGATGCTGGCTTTTGAATTTTACAGAAGCTATCTAGTCCTGGTGCTTAACAAACATTATTACGAATACTGAAATATTGACATGAATTTTAATTTTGGCATATAATAGCATTGGTTAACCTTTTTAGAAAGGCATCACAAAAACCTCATGGGATTCTTGAAAATAAAGTTAATATAAAGGCTCATATTGTGTTTATGCAAGATACCTCCTCCCATATACAGTGCCTGCTAAAACTTGAAAAAATGTTCTTGATTAATAATGTGGAAAAATGTTCAATACAAGAAAGATAATGCAACAGTTGGAGGGAGGTATGGATAAAACCACACCAACTTCTTTGCTTATAGCACATATTCCATAGGGGCAAATAATACTAGGGTTTGGGGTATTGATCACTGAAACACTGGCAAAAATATAAAGAAAAGCTATGTGGACATACCAAATACGGCAGAAAAACTAACATGAGTAGTTATAGAGGACCAAATACCAAAAGTGCAGTTCATACACACAATCTTAGGAAAAACCTTCAATGTCGTGGGCCTTCATTCTTCTGAATGCTCACCAACAGCATGTATTGCCCTATATTTGAGAAGCTTTGTTTAAAATTCAAATAAAACTAAATCCAGTACCCTAAAGGAGATATAAAGCAGGCCAACTTTCTCGTAAAACATACTGCTCATATTCCTCCTTCCTCACACTTCCCTAACAAGGATGGAGATCATCCTCTTTCCCACGGATGCCAGCACCAGCCTGGAGAAGATCTTCTCTTTGTCTCTCCCCTACTTTATCACTAAAGAGCAGTAGCTAAGTCTGCATGTTGTTCCAAACTGGTAGAAAAATAAGATAGAATAAAAAATCTTCATTCATCATTGATTTGGGTTTACCTGATGGACAGTTAGCTGTTTGTTTTGTTTTTGCCCTATTTCTCCCTAAGACCCATTGTCCTGGATTCTACACATCTATTCATTCCCTGGGTGCCTAAAAATATCAAAAGACCATTTGCAGTAAAAGCACTTGTGTTTAGTCTCCCAGCCCACTTCTGACAGAAAAGCACCCACGCCTTCCTCTCTCTCCTTGGATCAGTACAGAAGCAGTTGACTTGAAATTAGTATGCTCTCTCTCTCCTTGCATCCCCCTTGTAAGAATGAGGGGGTTCTAACTGGTTGTTTATATGCCACATAAATAAAACCTAAGTGCTTTAGTCTAAAATGGCATTTCTGGGCATAGTCTCTGAGCCTGAGCTTTCAACCCTACCTTACTCTCCTGTGTGATCATAGACTGAGTACCAAGTAACAGTAACAAACTATTGCTGATGTCCAAGAAAGCAAACAGATGGAGATCTTGCGATGTGTTCAGACTCTGATGAGCCATAATACAGTAATCCAAGTTAATGGCTCAACCACTTTTTACTTCGGTTAGACTTCCACCTTCAGTAAGCATGGTAAAAGTCAGAAGAACATGTCTGGCCAAAAAAAGGGGGGGGAGGGGGATTTTGGAATTGCAACGTGCCAGTCAATTCTGTGGAGATTTAATGCCTAGAATATCAATATTTCTCTTACCCTGACCTCCAGTAATCTATGTTCTCTCATCAATTCTAAATTTCAAGACCCACACACCTGGGAAGTAATTTCTCTACCCTCTCTTCCTATTTGGTAGGGAAGCAAGCAGCCATGCATTTACATGCACCTGAAATAGATCACGCTTCCTGTGATGAGATTTTCAGTGATTTACAGCTAATTGAAACAAAAACAGAAATCTGTTTGTGAGGTGTGAGTGGGGGAGCTGGTCAGCGTACAGATTCAGATGCTCTCCTTCCTGCTTGCAGTTAGGACTCTCGGCCTTCTGGCAGTGCAGTCTGCTTTGGGCCCTTTATCTAGTAAGAAGGATGCCCACATGAGCCACAGCTGAGCAGGAGAGACTGTATCAGTTCTCACTGTTCTAAAGACTGGAAGTCTGAGGTCAAGCTGTTGGCAGGGCCATCCTCCCTCCGAGGCTGTAGGGAGGAACTCTCCCTCACCTCTTCTAGCTCCTGGCAGTTACCCCCAATCCTTCGTGTTCCTTGGTCTGTGGGTGCAGCACTTCAACCTCTGCCTTCATCGCCTTCTCCCCTGTGTGTTTGTGTGTCTACTGTCTCTTCTTTAAGGGCACCAGTCATTGGATTCGGGCCCACCTTCATCAGTGTGACCTCATGTCAGCAAATGACATCTGTTAAGGACTTATTTACAAATAAGGTCATATTCTGAGGTTCTGGTGGACACAATTTTGGGGAGAACATGCCTGGCACAAAAAAAAGGGGGGAGAGGGGGATTTTGAAAATTGTAATGTGCCGGTCAATTCTGTGGAGATTTAACGCCTAGAATATCAGTATTTCTCTTCAAACCAGTATGGGAATGTTAGTGAGGGGTTCACCTGGTCTAAATTCTCCCCTGAGATCTGTTACTAGCTAATTGTGTGATATTGGACAACTCAGAGTTACTTTACCATGCCAGGCCTCAGCACCTCACCTTAAAATGAAAAGCGTTGACCTGGATGTCCGGAGAGCCCTCAGACTCTAGCCATTTGTGATTCTCTCGTGTTGTCACTCAGCTGTCCCAATTTCCCCTTGTGAACAATGGCATACATTACCAGCCAGCTGGCCAGCCCTGCAGAGAAGCGGCAATCAAAATTTCTGCACAACAGAACAACAGTAAATGGTCTCTCCTGTTAAGTAGCTTTTACACAAATTCCATCCTAAGATACAACATCAGGTAGAAATCAATGCAGTTTTTACAGCTCAAAAAATGTATTCCTGGCGGTGGCTGCGGCGGCTGCTGCTGAGGCTCGGACGTGGCGCTTCTTCCAGCTGGAATGGCGGTGAACTTGAGCGCCGCGGTGAACTTGAGCGCCACGGTGAACAGGGCCCCGGGGTGGCGAATGCGAGCTGCCGCTCACCCTGACTCAGCCCCCTGCTTCTATCTCCTCCCCTTGAGGACTGTGGGTGAACCTGCAGGCTCCATACCCACCCAGAGGACTTTTTTCTTTCTTTTTTTTTTTTTTAAGGAAACCAGGGAGGGAGGGACAGGGAGAAAGGGAGAAAACGAAGGGGAGCCCGTCCATCCATTGAAGGACACACAGTTCACTATGATCTTACTCACATTCAGCGCTGGGAGAGAGTTGGATTTCGTGCATCATTCGGGGATATTTTTCTTGCAAACCTTGCTTTGGATTTTATGTGCTACGGTCTGCGGAACGGAACAGTATTTCAACGTGGAAGTTTGGTTACAAAAGAACAGCTACCTTCCACCGACCGACCCCAGCATGTCAGTGCTACGCTCTGCGGAGACCGTGCAGTCTGCCATGCAGCAGTTCTGTGGCATTAACATGGCAGGAAAAGTGGACAGAAACACAACTGACTGGATGAAGAAGCCTCGATGTTGTGTACCTGACCAGACAAGCAGTAGCTCCAAATTTAATATCCGTCGAAAGCGATATGCATACACAGGGCAGAAGTGGCAGCACAAACACATCAGGGGCAGTATAAAGAACGTAAAGCCAGAAGTAGGAGACACTGGAACCCGTAAAGCTGTTCGCCGTGCCTTTGATGTGCCGCGGAATGTAGCTCCTCTGACGTGTGAATAAGTTCCCTACAGTGAATTAGAAAATGGCAAACGCGACGTGGATGTAACCATCATTTCTGCACCTGGTTTTCATGGAGACAGCTCTCCCTTTGCTGGAGACGGAGGGTTTGGGGCTCATGCCTATTTCCCTGGAACAGGAATTGGGGGGTATACTCACTTTGACCATGGACACTAGGAAATCCTAATCATGATGGAAATGACTTACTTCTCACAGAAGTTCATGAACTGAGACATGCTATGGGACAGGAGCATTCCAGCGACCCCACTGCCATCACGGTTCCATTTTACCAGTACATGGAAACTGACCACTCACACTACCTGATGATGACTCACAGGGCATCCTGAAGATCCATGGTCCACCTGACAAGATTCCTCCATCGACAAGACCTCTGCCGACAGTGCCCACACACGGCGCGGCCCCTCCCGTGGACCCCAGGAAGAATGACAGGCCCAAACCTCCCCGGCCTCCCACTGGCAGACCTCCCCATCCTGGAGCCAAAACCAGTATCTGCCATGGGAACTTTAACACGAGCTATTCTTCACCGTGAGATGTTTGTTTTCAAGGACCAGTGGTTTTGGCGAGTGAGAAACAACAGGGTGATGGCCAGATACCCCCATGCAAATTACTTAATTCTGGCGGGGCTTGCCTCCAAGTATTGACACAATTTATGAAAACAGTGACGGGAATTTTGTCTTCTTTAATGGTAACAAATACTGGGTGTTCAAGGACACGACTCTTCAGCCTGGTTACCCTCATGACTTGATTACTCCTGGAAGTGGCATTCCCCTGTATGGTATTGACTCAGCCATTTGGTGGGAGGATGTTGGGAAAACCCATTTCTTTAAGGGGGACAGAAATTGGAGATACAGTGAAGAAGTGAAAAAATGGATCCTGGCTATCCTAAACCAATCACAGTCTAGAAAGGTACCCCTGAATCTCCTCAGGGAGGCTTTGTACACAAAGAAAATGAGTGCCAGCAAACCAGGAAGATCCCAGCTCAAGGGAGTCACGCTGCAGTGAATGTATGATTGTTTTATAAAAAGATCAGAGAGCTCCTTATGTTTCTTGCTCTCCATTTTAGGATTTGAAATTTGGACATATCTAAATGGAAAGTGAGCCAGTAATGGATAATCCATACTCTCCTATCTGTTGGCATACATAAAGTCTGAACATTTCTCCCTCATTCAGGGATTAATAAATAGGAATAAATCATAATAATAATTCAAAAGATAATTTACACACAATATTCCAAAACAAAATAGAGAGAAATTCTGAAATACAAAGAAAAAATACTACTAGGAGTAACCAGAAGAAAACATTGTATTATGTTAATATATTATTTAGATCTTCGATAGCATGAAAAGTTCGTAAGATGTGTGCAACGATAACAAAATAAACATGATTTGCAAGGACAAAATTAAATGCATCTAGGGGAGGAAAGAACAAAGACGTCTAATGAAGAAATAGGGGAAAGTGAAAAGTCAACACCACCACTGAAAACTAGGATTAACCATCAGCATATTGCCAAAGTTTAAAAAAACTTGACACTGAGCATGAACTTGAAGGAACTGAGACCCAGGATTAATAAATACCAATCAGAAAAGTCAAAGTACATAAGCTGTTTTTTGACCTTTGTTATATGAAGTGATATGTTATTTTCTGTAATAGAGATTTGATTCAGTTTCTCTGGAAATAAATCACAAGAAAATATATATATATTTCTAACACGTTTATTGTAAAGTCCTTGGAAAAGTTTTTCTAAGATATGGTGAGCAAGGGAAACAACAATGGCAACATTTGTGTTATGATTTTTCATAATCAATTTTGGTCTTTGTAAGCTACATGCTCTCACAAATTGTTGGCATCAGGGTAATGTCAATGTCAAACACTCCACACAATCAACATTTAAACACCTTTTCCTGGATCATTTATATTTATAAACATAAAAACACATGATGAGGAAAATTAATAAGGAGCTGTTTGAAGCTGAGACATGAAGAACAAAGATGTCCTACCTTAAGAACTACGATCTTAAACACAACTTGTTGGGGAAGTGACAGTGTGCAATAGTAAAGAGACAAGCCTGGATTTGACATCCAGCTCTGCCATTTGTTAGCTGTGTGACTTTAGGCAAGTTACTTAACCTCTCTGAGTCTCTTTCTCTCATCTGAAAAATGAAGCTATTTAATTCATAGGGTGGCCATAGAGATAAAAAATAATGTATGAAATTCAGTTTCTCACCTGTCACAGAAGGGATAAAGAAGGAAAATCCTACTGAAAACTGTGATGAGAGGCTGAAATTCACACATTTTTGCCCCATTTCCTAGGAAATGTGCTTTCTTCTTCTTCTGGGTCAGCACTGCATGTGTCTCTACATTGCACAGAGTTTAGGATTATAACTGTTCTCATGTTTCCTCTCATTGAAGACAACAACCGTGTCTCCTTCACTGCTTTCTCTTAGAGCCCAGCAGAGTCAACACTCTCACATAAGTGAATTACAAAGCAATACTAGGGACATTTTGATTTCACGGATTGATATTGAAAGATATAATAGAACCTGAAAAGGTTTGTCTGTGGAAATGAATTACTAAAGGTACAATCAGCATAGACTCTGACCCCTAGTTAATGAATTTATTTGATCATTTCACCTAAGAATAATTTAGGAAGTTTTTTTTCTTCTCACGTCGTATAATGTGTGTGTGTAGACCCTGTGTATGTGTGTAGGTAAACAGATAATAGCAATTTCTATATTAATCTGTAATTATATACTCAGCCCTTCGAACTGCTTATTTATCACAACAACCTGGTGAGGAATGCCACAGACACTCTCGTTTTTTACAGAGAAGACCCTGAGCCAGAGAAAGGTTAAGTGGCTTAGTGAGATGCATGCAGTGAATCAGTGGCAAAGCAGGAGTTAGAGCTTGCAGCCCTGGAATCCCCTTTATATTGCTTAGCACCACTACACATGAGTTATCACTATTTGTAATAGCAGGTTCTCACAAGAAATATTGGGAGACTGGGGGTTGAAAATTGCTCTGAGACAGGTGGCCGGCCACCTTTCCTCAGTTCCTCCTGTGCTCCGAGCAGCCTATCTTGTTCATCCAGTGCCTCACAGGACTGCTCAGAACAGCATGCTTACTACTCTGGTATGTTTATATCACTGCATCAATGAGCAGAAATTAGGTATTGATGAGGGAGGCAGGGCTGAAAATCCTACTGCCCCCACATGCTGGAGGCCTGGAAGAAATTTTGATATTTGTTGCCCATTGATTTCGCTAGCTGGCCCTTTGTTTTTTTGTTTGTTTGTTTCCTAATGAAGACATTTTTTTCAGTGCAAGTAGAGATTTACAACAAAATTAAGAGGAAGGTACAGAGATTTCCCGTATACCCCCTCCTCTATACATGCATGTGCTCCCCATTATCAATATCACTAATGAGAATGGTAGCTTTTACCAAAGATGCATACGTGAACTTTCACGGACAAGATCATAATCACCCCAACTCCGAGGTCTGTCTTAAGAGTTCACCCATGGTGCTGTACATTCCATGGATTTGGACAGATGTATAATAACATATATCCATCATTACAGTATCACACTAGCCTAGTATTTTCACTGCCCTAAAAATCCTCTGTGATCTGCCTAATCACCCTTCCCCCTCCTCCCAATCCCTGGCAATCACTCATCCTTTTTATTGCCTCCATGCCTTTTCTAGAATGGCAAATAGTTAGAACCAAACAGTATGTGGCCTCCTCAGATTGGTTTCTTTCACTTAGTACTATGCATTTGAGGTTCCTCCAGGTCTTTGCGTGGCTTAGAGATGACCACGGTCTGGGTGTACCACAATTTATTTATCCATTAACTTACTGAAGAACATCTTTGTTGCTTCCAAGTTTTGCAATTATGAAAAAAGTTGCTATAAACACCCATGTACAGGTTTTTGTATGGATGTAAGTTTCAACTATTTGGGGTAAAAACCAAAATGTACAATTCTGGATCCTATGGAAGAGTATTTTGGTTTGGTAAGAAACTGTCAAACTATCTTCCAAAGTGGCTGTGTACTACTTTTCCTTCCCATCAGCAATGAATGAGAGTTCTTGTTACTCCACATCCTTGCAACCATGTGGCATTGTCAGTGTTCCAGATTTGGGCCATTTTAATGGTTACATAGTGGTACCTCACTAGTGTTATGATTTGTATTTCCCTAATGACAAATGATGTGGAGCATCTTTTCATATTCATCTGTATATCTTCTTTAGTGTCTGCCAAAGACTTTGGCTCATTTTTTAACTGGGTTTTTTTTTTCCTTTTCATTGAGT